TTTTTTGAGACAGGGTCTCACTATGTAGTTGAGACTGAGACTGACCTGGAACTCACTATGTAGCCCAGGCTGGTCTCGAGCTCACACTGATCCTCCTGTCTCAGCCTCCCGAGTGCTGGGATTACTGGCATGTGCCACCATGCCCAGCCTTTCTTACAAATATTAAATAGAAGTATATTTGGAGGGCGGAGGATTTAGCTGAATGGTTCTACTGCCTGCCTTGCCAAGCGCAAGGACCCGAGTTTGGACCCCGGTACCAAAAAAAAAAAAAAAATGGAAAGGACAGTGGCATGGACCTGTTAAAGGCTCAAGAGATAGCAATTACTATTACTGCAAACTCGAAAGTATCTGTGTGATTCTAACTACTCATTTCCACAACTCAACAGCATTCATCACTGCATTCCACGTGCCGCTTTCTTTACTCTGAGCAGTACAGTGAAGGACAATGAAGCGAAGCAAGGGTCAGGAGCACCTGGCACAAACAGGTACTTCCTGAGTATCTGCTGAACGCTGAGAAAAAGAAAGAAAATAAGACAGGAACACAAACAGAGACACAGGGAGTACAGAAATACATTCATACACACACACACACACACACACACACACACACAGAAGTGACAAGAGCGAGCCCACACTCTCTGGGACCCCGAGATCTCAGGGAATACTTAATATTACACTTGCCCTGGGTAACATATGAGGCAAGGATGGCTGGGCTGGACTGCAGTATCAAATTCATGCCCTACTCAGAAACACCAAGTCCTTCCCCTCCCTGAGTTGAATACAGTAAATGGGGAAAATGGCGTTTAGTCACAGTTTCTGAAGGAGCCGGCGCAAACACAGCTTTGAGCCTTTACAGGACATCTCCAGAGTTAAAGAACTCATTGTTAAGAGGCCCTGTCAGCAAACCAACAAAGATGTGTCCATTCTACTCGCAGGAGTCTGCACTGCTCTCTTCAGTTTTGCAAAAGTACTGCTTTGTTTCTGTCCTTTATTCTGTTCTCCTTATGGTAAAAGTTGCTATTTGTGAATATTTTCCAAAAGGTTACGACTGCTACAGGGCAGTTTTAATAAGAGGTCTTCACCTGCCAGTGGGAAGATGGGGAAAGTTGTTTGCGTGCGGCACACACACCTAACCCCATCCTGGCACTGACGTCCCGCCCTCTCCCTCACCCTGGTTCTGCACACAGACCCTCTGCCTGAGCATTCCCTCCTCCCCTGCAAGTCTGAAAGGAAAGCAGGCAGCGGCCCTGGAAAGAGTTACTTCATCCAGCTGGCTAATGGGGCACATATTCCACGGGACATGGTCCAGGTATGGAAAAGAGGGATGGTCAGGCCTTCTGTGCGAGGAGAAAGAGGAGCGTTAACCACGCAGGGCCAGGTAAAAGGTGATAAAATTCCACTCTGGGGGTGAAGTAAGAATAGGTTCTCCTTGGGTCCATGCGTTGCCAGCTCCCCTTGTGCCTGCTGGCATCTTCCCAGGCTTCTGTCTGGCACCTCCACTAAATATCTAAAAGAATCAGATTCGGTCCAGAGCTTCACTGAGGGGGAGGGGGAGGCAAAAGGTCCTGCCAAATGCTTTGATCTATGCAGGGGGTCCCGAGGGATTCAGCCCAGCGAGAGGTGGGAGGGAGAAAGACTCTTGCGCAGCCTGCCAAGTGTGCATTCTCCACAGACGTGTCATTCCCTTTAAGAGCCGAGTCAGGGCACGGGGTTCTCAGTCCCACCAAGAAAAGTTTAACTTTTCTATTCTCTCTGATGTTGGTTTTGAGAGAACAAATCACTAGGGCAAAAGAGCATTCCAAAAGAAAAAAGTCCCAGATGAGCTGGGAATTGATCCTATTCTTTTTGACTCCCGTCTAAGAAAATAAAAAGCAAACTTATGCCATAGTGGACTTGCAATAGCAATTCCATTTGGCAGATAAAAAAACCCAAACCCCAACTAGCGCCGTCTATGAGAGTCAAACAACATTGGAGCTCTCGGCACAGGGCTGAAGGAATGGCGGTCGGGTGGGAGTTTTATGCCAAGGTCAGAGAGACAAGGACAGAGAGAGCCAAGACATGTGACCAGGTTTTATGTCACATGAGACCCAGGATAAAAAGCCTCCAGAGAGACCCAGGCCAGGTACAAGGACTTGTACCTGGGGCCTGGAACTGCAGTATTTGCTCTATTAGAACCAGATCTTCTGTTTATTCAGTGCGAAAGGTCTGGTCATCACTGTTTACTGTATAGCTGTGAGTCCAGGCTGCGGGTGAGGAATTTCCAAAGTGAAAGACTCCTCAGAAAGTTTGTTTGTGCACACAAAGGAAATAAAAGATAGTGGATAATAGAAGATGGAGTACTGGCCACACACACAACATATCTATCCCCACTTACCCTTTTCTTGGAAGGACAGAAAGGATACTTCCAAAAGAAAGAAATGATAACAAGGCTAGGAAAAAAAAAAAAAAAAGGACAAGGAGCCAGAATAGACTAAGTTTAAGCAAACCTAAAGCTAGAAAGCAGAGAGGATCAGGTTGGGAAAAAAAAAGTAGAGGAAGCCCTAGCCCAAGACATCAGAGGGGAGAGTAATCATCCCAACGAGGCCCTGCTAAGTGCCAGGCAGTGGGATAAGGAACAAGAATCAAATCATTAATTCACACAGCCCAGGGGATGACTCAGCCAGCGGACCTCCTCTAACATCCAGAGCACAGCCTTTAACCTCAGGTAAACCTACAGATCAGATCAAACCTAGGGATGGTGCTATGGGGAGGACAGTTTGTGTGGGGGCCAGGCATCTTCAGAGGAGATGGAAAGGCCACCACTATGGCTCGTTTCTGGATGTCCCACCCTCACCCCCATGACTCATGCAGTCACATGGGGCTTTTTAGAGGTGGCTGGATCTAGGGTATGTGACGGTGGGATCAAGGATTCGATGCTGGGATTAAGGGTGTGAGCACCCTTAAGAGTGGATAGCCTGGAGGCAGAAAGAGGGCAGAAAGAGGATTGTCACTTGTTGCTTGCTATTTTTGCTGTCTTCTGCCTGCCATGAACTTTTTCTGTTCTGTAATGTCCCTCTGCCATATCACCCTGCCTTGGAGCCAGCCAACTATGAAATGAAATCTCTATAAACTGTGAGCTAAATAAACCTTTCCTCCTTTCAACTTTGGATGTCAGATATTCAGTCTCAGCAATGAGAAAAAGTAACCAAGAGAGCCATTTTGCTGAACAAAGAAATCACCAAAGTCTTTAGTCATAATGGGGTTCACCCTGTGCTGGCAAGTGGAAGAGGCATGCTCTTCACTCACATCTTGAACCATACACTAAGATGAAGCCTGTCAATCAACATGCTTGGCTCTTACACAAAATGCACAATCAGGCTCCCATCCAGGGACATGCTATTAGGGAGAGTCCTACACAGTCACAGGGACACCTAGGCTGGCCACCTGATCAGTCAGTCTACTCTTTCATTCATCAATATAGCCCAATGCTCATGGATTATGAAAATGGAGACAATCCAACAGTAGGAAAAAAGATAATCTCAAGAAAATTCAGCAACAGAAGTGAACTTTAAAAGAACTTCAACTGGGGCCAGCGATTTAGCTCAGTGGTTCCACCATCTGCCTCACAAGTGCAAGGGCCCGAGTTCGATCCTGGTACCAGAAAACAAACAAACAAACAAACAAACAAAAAAAGCACTTCAACTGGTAGCCTCAAAAAAAAAAGGCAAAAATACCATTCACTAAGCAACTACAGGCCATTTTATGGCTTGTATCTAGATGTCCCCCCAAAGCCTTGTGTGCTTATAGGTGGGGCTTTTCAGAGTTGGCTGGATCTAGTACAGTGGTGATGAACCTACGGCAGCTTGCCACAGCTGGCTGCTTGTGATCACTGAAAGCTCTAAAAGGTTCATCATCACTGATCTACGGTGTGTGATACTGGGGTTAGTGGTATATGATACTTAAATTGGCTTAGCATAGTTCTGGTATGAATAATGGAAGACCTACCCTGAGTGTGGAGGTGGCACTAACCAACAGGCTTGCAGCCCAAGTGGAATATGAAGGCACAGTAAAGAAGGCAGGCTCACTGCTCGCTCTGAGATGCCCTTCTACCATGCTGTCCCGCCTTGGAGCCAGCCGAATATGGACTGAAACCTCTACTAACTGTACTGAAACCTCTACTAACTGTGAGCTAAATAAACCTTTCCTCTTTAACTTGTGGGTGTCGTGTATTTTGACCTGGCAACAAGAAAGTAACTAAGGCCATTATTCATATATAAAAAGAAAATCAGAAAATAAGTTTCTGAAAAAGAAAAACAAGATAATCAACAAAAAAATGCAGTGGATGAATGAATAACAAAATGAGTAACACTCAAAATGGTGATCCAAAAGATAAAAATGGGGAAGAGAGAATTACAAATGAGGAAAGCTGATAGGAAGGAAAAACCCAGAATGCCTCAAAAAGGAATTATAAAAGTGGAGACAGAGATAATAGGATAATTTTCTCCACACTAAGTGAAAGACACTCCTTTTCAGACTGAAATGCCTACCAAATGTCCAAGAGAAAAAAAATGAAAAAAAAAACAAAACAAAAAAAACTGCACTTAACTATTGGTTCAATTTTAGAGCCCCAATGCTATAAAATCTATTTCTATTGAGCTTAAATTATTTCACCTTATAAAAAAGAAAAACTGATTCGTGGTTATTATTTTTTTTGTTTTGTTTTGTTTTGAGATAGGGTCTCACTATGTAGTTGAGACTGATCTGGAACTCACTATGTAGCCCTGACTGGTCTCAAACTCACAGCAATTCTCCTGCCTCAGCCTCCCGAGTGCTGGGATTACAGGCGTGAGCCACCACGACTGGCTGATTTGTGGTTATTGAAAAGAACTATAAATATTTTAACATTTTAAAAATAAAATAAAAATGTAAGAGATGGAATGTGGACAGGCAGGCAGGAGGTGATGTGATTTTAATAAATGGCAAATTGGACGTTGACCACGCCACAAAAAGTTGACAAAGAAACAAATCAACTATATGAAGTCACTCGTTACTGCGGCAAGTCTAGAGTGTAAAACTCGAGTTGGGATTTTATTTTATTTACTCTGTATATGTATTAAATTTTAAAAGAACATCTAATGAAAACTTTGCAAAGGATCAAGATACTGATGGCTTTTGAAAAACAGAAGAGGGTGCACAAGGAGAACAGGAGGGAGGGGAGGAGGAGGAGCAGCAGGACGCCAATGCCAAATGGAGGTCAACTAACTCTGAAATCTGGGCCCGGGCTTGTGCTCAGCTAGAGGCACATGACAGCAGCTGATCCTTTGTGCAGAGCCAACATGATACAAAAGGCTGCCCTCCACCAAGTCTGATCAAATGGCTTTTTTTTCTTTCTTTGTTTTTTTTTTTGGGGGGGGTCAGGTACTGGGGATTAAACCCAGGGCCTCTGCATTGCACTACATCCTCAGTCTTTTTTATTTTTTAAGATAAGGTCTCGCTAAGTTGCTCAATCTGGGCTTGAAATTGCAACTCTCCTGACTCAGCTTCCCAGAGTGCTGGGATGAAATGTAGTGGCTACCCATGGCCAAAAAGGGGTTAAAGCCCTTAACAGCAAACTCTCCTATGGAAAGACCAGCACATGCAGGACAGTCATAAGACAGTGTAGTAACACTGACTGGAAACCACAAAAGATAAAAACAAACCTTTGATGTAAGATCTACTCATTTCTCCCAATGAAACCAACCCATCTTCTTTAAAAGTTAACGTGCGTAGATATCCTTACCTAAAGATAACAGGCTTTCCACGAGGCTGGAGGACATGATCTCGTCAATTGTAATTTCCCCCACATCCTCAAACCCTCGTGACCGTCCCAGTGTCTCACCCTCACAACGTGAATCGTGTCTTGGAAACTCGCCCGCTCTCCCATCTTACTCTTATTCTTGCCTGGGTAAATTGTTTTACTGCCCATGTCAGCAACCCTTCACGGCATTTTTCAAGTAAGCTACTGTGTGACCATGAAGTCTTCGGGCCTGGGAAGATGTTACTGCCAGGAGGGTAAACTACAGTGGACTCACTTCGGAATGCTCACTTCTCTCTGAGAAGGAACCCCTTGAGTATCACGCCTGCATACTTACATTGTTGATCAGGTAGACACCCCGCCCCCTGGAAGAGGCCACTGGTTTTACTATCCAAGGTCCCCGGTCCTTAGAGTAAGAATCTGCTCAAAATATTGGCAAATAAAAAGGGGGAGAGAAAAACAAAGACAAAGAAGGAATATGAGTTCATCTCAAATTTCAACAACTGTTATCTATTCAGGTACCCAAAAAATTCTTCCAAATTTCTAGTTGGAGGGCAGCAGCTGAAATTCATTTGTATTTTTGGACTAATCTTAAAAAGGAAAGGGGTGGGCAGGAGGAAAGAGGATAACAAAATTACTCACATAATTATTTCTTCAACCATTTCTCTTTATTTTTTTATTTTTATTTTTTTGTTGTTGTTTTTTTGAGACAGGGTCTCACTATGTAGTTGAGGCTGACCTGGAACTCACTAAGTAGCCCAGGCTGGTCTCGAACTCACAGAGATCCTCCTGCCTCAGCTTCCTGAGTGCTGGGACTATAGGCCCGGTTTCCCTTCTTTCTTAAATGAGAAGATGAAGACAAAACCAGGCAAAATCTGGGTGTTAATTACTGTTGACAACCTCCAGGAATCTTTCAAATTCTCACCTCTGTTGACTCATGGAGCTTCAGCAAACAGTGACAGGGTAAACTGAATGCTCGATCTCCTAATAAGTGTTCCCTAGATTAGCAATCCCAGCCTGGGGCCAGTGTTTCCATAGGGCTGAGGTGGCGTAGGGTATAGATGCAGCCTTGCTCACCTCCCACAGGTGGCCCTTGCTAAATAATTCCTCAGAGCTTCTAAGGAAAAAAAAAATCACCTTCCTTAAATCAAACAAAGTGCAAGAAGCAAGGAAGCACAGTAATTAATTTACAAGTGAGAGTAAGAAGCTTTTGCTTCTGTTTCTTTTCCAGGTTCAGCTTATACTTTAAATAACTTTGTGTCCTGAGACAAGAAAGCAGACAACCTTTGCTAAGATTCCCAAAGGCTTGCTGTGGTGGGGAAGGTGATGGCTCTGCCTACCAGTAAGAGACTGTTAGAGGGCAAGGGATCAAACAAGGCTGGAGGGTCCAGTGCTACTGTGCTCTTAGGCCCAGCCTGGAGAGGCATAACTAGTCCTAGCCTTGGGCTCTTCCCTCTCCCATTCAGATCAAACACCTCAGATGGATGACTGCTTCAAAGCAGGTGGGAAAAGTCAAACATGAGGCCAGGCGTGGTGGCACACGCCTGTAATCCCAGCACTCAGGAGGCTGAGGCAGGAGGATCACCATGAGTTCAAAGCAAGCATGGGCTACATAATGAGTTCAAGACCAGCGTGAACTACATAGCGAGACCCTGTCTCAAAAAAAAAAAAAAAAAGTCAAAGATGAAAATTAAGATACTTAATTTTTTCTTGAGAGTTTCTTCTCTGAAAGAAGAGTGACAGGGAAAGAATAAACGTGTAGAGAAATCAAATAAACACAGAGTTTCTGAACAGATCTCACACAGCTTTCTTTTTGCACAGTACCTAGTTCGCTGTGCATCAGGATGTTAGCACCACTTTATCTAGAACACAGCAGCATAAACCCACTCAAGTTCCTAAAGCTCATGTTTCTCCCAGCAAGGACTCCCACCTGGGTGCCAGCTGCCTCCTCTCTTCCCCGGAAGAGCTCACAAACTGCTCCTATGCTGAGTGGGGCCTTACCCAGGCAGTGGTGCCAACCATCCTGGCTCAGCACCTCTCCCCAGGCCGCACGCCAGTGACTGCTGCCTCCTTCTCCTCCCTCTCCCTTGGACGGGAGCCACACGGCCTCTCAGAGGCCTCTCAACAAGAGCTTGACTTTGTCAGCGCCATAAACCATTTCACCAGGAGGAGGGGGATAAGACCTCTGTCCACCCTCTCTCATCTTCCCCTGCCTGTTCCCTTAATGCAGCTTAAAAAAACTAGAAAAAAACGTGATGTGTCACTCAGACTCTAACGCTCTACAAGTAGTTCTACTTCTAGTTCTGCTGTATCCTCTGGTTCTAGTCACACGTATGCGAAATACAGTATGCACAAGATTATACAATGCTGCATTATGATAGCAAAATGTTAATTAAATATACTCTACCACATCTACAGGAGTCAGCGGACTGCTTTTGTAAGAAGCCAGACCGTAACATTTCAGGATCTGAGGGCCTGTGTGTGAGCTGTGCTGACACTGCAGCCTGACAACAGACAGGTAAACAAAGGGCACACTGTGTTTCCGTAAAATTTCACTTAAGGACACTGAAACTCTTATTGTTCCCACATACCACAAGATTTTCTTCTTTCTTTTCCCAACCATTCAAAAATGTAAAAATCATCAGGCTTGGTGGCACATGCCTATAATCCCAGTACTTGGGAGGCTGATGCAGGAGGATCGCCATGAATTCAAGGCCACCCTGAACAATATAATCAGACCCTGTTTCAAAAAAAACCTAAATAAATAAATATGTAAAAAATCATTTTTAGTTCATGGGGTTTCCTGAAAGACACAGGACTGATCTGACTCCAGGGATGTTAGTTTGCAAACACTTGATCTTTGCAAGAGAATATGAATTAACTACTGTATAGAATGATCTCCCAGACAGCCTGTTAAGTAAACAAAAGGACAGCAGGATGCAAAGGTTATTGGGTAAATCCTGTTTCCATAAACACATATGCTATTTGCCAGTAAATGCCAAGAACAGCTCTAGAAAGACAAGCATAAAACCAGGAACATAACTGGCCCTAAAGAGGAGACATGATTGACTAAGAAACATGAAGAGAAAGAAAGCATTTCAACAGTTAGTACTTTCTATATTTTTGCGCCATGAAAAAAAGTGTAATTTATGTAATTTTAAAGTCCCGCTATAGAAGACAATTTTATAGCTACATATAACAAAAAAATTAAATCTCCATAATTAAGGCCACTGAATATATGTATTTTATTTCATTTTGCCATTTTCCTTGATGGATTGAGCACAGAAGCTATTAAGATAAACAAAAAATTTAAAGATTTCTAAGCTTCCTTCATTTAACTCCATAGTTCTAAGTATCTAATCTGAATTAACTGGTTTGCTAGGTGTGGAGTACATAGTGATGAAAAAGACAGGCTTTGCCCTCATGAACATTAAACTAGCAAAAAAGACAGGTATTAAACAAGTAATCACAGATATAGACTTAAGAACTGTCCAGTGCTATAAAAATGTTTAAGAAAATGACCAGGCTCATCTGGAGAAAGTACCCTCCTCAGGGATAGCCATATGTACAAAATTCTTGTTTTCAGCACAGGTTAAAACCTAGCTGCATGCAACTTTTGCCACTTGACAATGTTATTTAATCAATCCCCTCTAATGAGAGGCCCCTCTCACCAAAAGTTCATGATACTTAGCAAACATGCTGGCACACGCCTGTAATTCCAGCCCTAGGAGCTGAGGCAAGAGGATCACTGTGAGTTTAAGGCCAGCCTGGGCTACACAGCGAGTTCAAGGCCAGCCTATCTAAAAAAAAAAAAAAGCAACTCATAATTCTTCTGCTGCTTTACTGTTGTCATGTTCTTGAAATTCTGAATATTAAAGTCTTAGCCCTCTATACTAGGCCTTACACATTAATTTGCAATACTTCAGAACTAAGATCAGTTTCTTTCAGAGGTGCTAAAAAAATGCAGTTGGGACACAAGAAAAGCAGAGGTAAAGACAGGGCAAAGGTCTAGGCAGTTTACCTGGATGAGGGTGTTCTAGGAAAGCTTCAGCACTCTTTCCAGTGTCTTCTGGTCGGACGGGTAACATGCTTGGTCTAACAGAAGGAACACTAAACCAGAAGTAGAAAGGTCTGCCTTCTGACTCCTGCTTTTCAAATTTATGACACCATGGGCAATCTGCTTAACCTAGTCTAGTCATTAAAATGAAGGGAGTCGCTGGAATTGCTAAGATCTCTTACAATTCCAAAATTATGATTGTAGAAATTTACAGGCATCTGCAATCAACTGGGTAGATCAAAATTTTGTTCTTAGAATCATTTCTCAGCCTCTCTTGTAACTAGAGGAGGTCAGAGAACACAATCTGGGGAATGTTTGCCTTCTATACTGGTGCCCCCCTCACCAGTACAGAGCATCAGGCATGAGGACTGCTCAGAGACACAAGGGACACCGGTCAAAGTGGTCTCATGAGCTGAAGCTTCTTGTCCTAACAAGAAAAAAATCTTAAATCCATCTATGTCTAGATCTAGCCCAGCACCAACCACAGTCTCCAGACATACAAAGGCTGGATGCTGCTTGAACCATGCCCAGTAATTAGAGTGTGGGAGTTGGAACACACAGCACAGCACCTTCTAGGGTCCTGGAGCCATCACCACCACTCACCTCTTCTTTGTTTCTTCCTTCTTCCTGCTTAGAAAGGTGTCCACTCAGGGGAAGTGGCAACAGATCCTTATTTGGGTTCACAGACATTTAACTGCACTAAACAGTCTGTGGCAGGTGTCCCTAGTGTCTCGGGCAATTCTCAAGCCTGATCCTCATCCACAGTCTTTCAAAGGCCCTTCAGGGACTGTTCCAAGTCCAATCCTCTCTGCCCCTTTCAGTCATCCAAATCCATACCTAGGCTTCTCACTCTCAGCACAGGACTTCATTACCTTCCTCATCTAAAAGGCTGGGACCTTAAAACATAACCCTAACCTGTGTTCCTCTCCATCTAAAATTGTATCTGGGTCAGCGCTTAGCACTCTTTTTGCCCTCCTCCTGGGGAGACATACCCACCTCTTGTTCTCAAGCTCCTGCCTGGGAGACCTCTTCCATTGTTCCTCATCTCCCTCCCACCCCAATTCTCTGCGGGATTTCTACGCTTTTTCTCTCCCTTACAATCACTTCCATCTACAACCTCCAGAATCTGTATCTCTGGCCAAACTCAAAGCTGATTTACAACTACCTGCATAATATCATTACATGCTTGCCCTGGAGGCACCTCAACTCTGTACCACGTCCAAATTGAACACTCCTCTCACCCTGCAATGGCTCCTACTCCTTCTGTGCCTGGTTATGTTCCCTAATTACAGGCTTCATGATCCTGGCAGAGGGCGGTAGCATGTGCCTGTAGTCCCACCTACTTGAGAGGCTGGCGTGTTTGAGACTAGAAATTTGAGGCCAGCCTGGGCAACATAATGAGAATCCTGTCTCAAAACAAATACCGATCCCCCTAGCTTCTCAGACTCAAATGTCCCTCTCACTCCTGCCCCAGTCCTCCCATCTAGCTGAGAAGTCCTGTTGATCATCACACCATTCCCACAGCACCACTCCATCCAGCCACTCCTCTCATCCATATCACTGCAGCAGCTTTCAAACCATCTTTCTTTACTCTACTTCTTCCAACTCATTTCAGTCCTTTTTCTAAAGGCCAATCTGTCTATATCCCTTTCCTTCTCAAATATCATTTCCCACATTCACTCAAGTGCTGCAGGCTCCAGAACGCAGGAGTCTTTCAAGACGCACATGCTAGATGGACACCAAAGAAAAACAGGGGAGCTCTTCAGATTTTATAAGGAAAAGGAATGTCCCCTGCAAAGAGAAGGTGGCTTTCTGCTCCAATATAAGCAACACAACCAGTGATGTTGGATTTCTCCAGGCCCTGGACGAGTGGCCCAGAATGAACGTTACCTGGCAAGACTGAACTCGAGAGGACTCCCCTGACTACCACATCTTCCCTGTCCACCCTTTACACAGACACAGGAAGTCCCCGCTGTGGTCTCTGGGTGGCAACAGCAGTGAGTGGTTGGAATTGAGGATCAAGGAACTTCACTTGCTTGTATTTGTGGGGCCTAAATGTGCTGGCTTTGGGTTACGGCATAATAATGAGATATGTTCTATTTATCTTTGAGTTCATTTATTTATTTATTTATTTATTTTTGAAACGTAGAACTCCTAAGAGTTTGAATAATGGGTTGAAGAAGCAATACCACTGAGACCCAGGTCAGGCGTGAGTTGACAGAGGAACTCAAACTCTAACCAATCACCTGAATGAGCAACCCATTCCCGCTATACCTCAGCCCACCCTCCACCCCCACAGCAGAATGAAAACCAGCAGGGAAGGGGAAGGGAGGTTTCCAACTTAGATTCCTTTAGACTTTCACAGGATTATTCTGGACTTTAATTTCTCCTTAGGAATTCAACAACAGGGGTTCATATCTGGAACTATTTTATGTTGCTGACGTGTTAACTGGAGCATTTTTATGCTATCATGTTCACATTTCACATTTTTTCCCCTTCTTATACAACAACATAATGAAACAAAACTTGAAACAGGAAGTAATACTAAGTAATTATTATGCACCTGTCAGGCACCAGTTCACGTACATTCCATGCATTCCAAAATACACATTCTAACAACAAAGGATCAGTAGTGGTCTCATTTTACAGAAGAGGAAGGTAAGGCACAGAAAGGTTTGAGTAGGACATGAGGGGATCTGGCTGCGACATCTGTCACCGATTGATCTCCAGGGCTAATTTTGACCTGGTCAGCTAGAAGGGTGTTCTCTTCCTCCCTCACCACTCCGTGCGCGTCCCTCCCAGAGCCGTGCTCTTGGTTGAAGGGGACACCTGGACTCAAGCCACCTTCCCACTCCAGTTGCTGGGGTTGTAGGTGGGCACCACCACACCCAACAACAAAGTAACTATTAACTATGAATTGTTAGCCTTGAGTATACTATAGCTGAGAAGTTGATTGATTCATTTAATTAGTGCTTTATATGATTCATTTCAGAGCCTTCGGTGGGCCAATAATAAACTGCCAGCCAATGGTCCCTAGCTGGAGCCACTAACAGCAGGAAAGCTCCCAATGAGCTGCTGGTGTCTTCTCCCGAAGGAGAATTCCCCCTGGATGATACAGTCAGTCAAAGGGTGAGCTCAACAGGGTGAAAAACCAAAAGCCAGGAATTTAGGGAGAACTCTCTCTTTCTCTTTCCACGCTGCTTCCTCTCTCCAGAACATGGATGGACTCTCTTGGACTTCTCTAGAAGGAAGTCTCTGCCTGAGTGTCCTGGTGTGGGTCTGCCCTGATGCCCCTCTGGCTGTGATGTGGGAAGTCGTCACTGCAGGCACACTACCCAAGGTTTCTAGCACCAAAGCACAGCGGCGGGAAGCACGGCCTCTGAAGCCAGGCTGCCAGCCTGAATCCTAGCTCTGCCAACTCATGTGGCGGAACTTACCCAATCGGTATCTTAATCCTTCATCTGTAAAACTCTCTCAGAGATTCCATGTAAGAGTGTCTAAGGGAAAGCAGTTCATTAAGTGTTAGCTATGACGATGATGATGACTTTTTCAATTTTTTTTTCCCCTTGGCACACATCTGCAGCACTGCCCATGGTCTTACATCTTCACTATTATTCGGTCTTGCAAATTCAAATTATGAATGAATCCACAGCCAAACCGTACATAGTACTAGCTTGAGGGTAGCAATTTATTTTCCCCTTCATAGCACTATGATGAATTCTTTCAAGTTTAACTAACCTTGCCTTACCACCAACAATTAATCTGATTGATGAACTTCTAATTGTTGTATCAGCTTTTCTCCTGTTGTAATTTCACAGTTACCTTAACAGGACCAAATATACTTATTACAGCATTACATTCACTCTACGAGCTAATTTCAACACAACACAGAAGCGTATATAACACATCTCCATTCCTTTTTCATCCCCTTTTCCTCTCCTCCCTTCCCGCTCTCTCCATCTCGTTTCATGCCTTTTGGCAAAAGATCAATCTCCCCATTTCCTATTATGTATCTTTTATTTTGCTCTTTAATTATTTATGCTTAGGGTTTCTCACGTTAAGAGAAACCACACAATATTCAAGCTTCTCTGTCTGACTTATCTCACTTAACATTATGGTCTCAAGGTGCATCCATTTTCCTACAAATGACTCAAGTTTATCCTTCTTTGTGGCAGAATAGTACTTCATTGTATACACACACACACACACACACACACACACACACCGTATTTTTTATCCATCCATCTTTTGAGGGGCATATAGGCTGCTACTGATTGACCTATTAAGAGCCGTGCTGCTATAAACATGGATGTGCATGTGTCACCATTACAGGATGTCTTTAACTCTTTCAGGAAGATATGGAGAAGAATAGCTGAGTCAAATGGAATTTCTAGTTCAATTACTTGAGAAATCTTCACACTGATTTCCACAGTGGCTGTACTAGTTTACATTCCCACCAACAATGTAGAAAGGGTTCCTTTCCCCTTGCAGCCTTCCCAGACTTTGTTATCGTTTCATTTCTTGATGGTAGCCCTCCTTTCTGGAGTAAGACAGAATCTTGGTGTTTTAATTTGCATTCCTCTAATGGGCGGAAATGTTAAATATCCTTTCATGTATTTATCGGCCATTTGTCCTGCTTCTGAGAACTCTGTTCATTTCAGCTGCCAATTCTTCTTTCTCTTCTTGAAGGGGGTCTAATTTTTTTGAGTTGTTTATGTATTGTAGATACTAATCCTCTGTCCAAGAAATAGCTGGCAAAAAAAAAATTTTTTTTCCCAGTCTATAGGTTGTGTCTTTACTCTGTTAGTTATTTCCTTTGCTGTGCAGAAATTTTTCAATCTGATATAATCCCACCTGTTGATTCTTGGTATCTTTTTTTTATGCCACTGGGGTACTATTTAGAAAGTCCTTGCCTATGTCTATGTCTTCAAGAGTTTTGCCTATTTTACCTTCCAACAGATTGTTTCTGTTTTAACGTTTAGATCTTTGGTGCATTTTTATTTTAATTTACTATACGATGCAAGCTAGGGGTCTAGATTCAATCTTCTTCATATGGATAGCCAGTTTTCCCAGCACCATTTGTTAAAGATGGTATCTTTCTTCCAGGGTATATTTTTGGCCCCTTTGTCAAAAGATCAGAAAGCTAAATGCTGCTGGACTTGTTTCTGAATCCTCTATTCTATTCCACTGAGTCACACTGTTTTTGTGCCAATACCGTGCTGCTTTGTTTTAATCACTGTAGCTTTGTAATATAACTTGAAGTCTAGGACTGTGATGTTTTTCTGCTTTGCTATTGTTGCCCAGAATTGCTTTTTGCTATTCTGTGTCTCTTCTGATTCCATAGGAATTTTAGAAGATGTTTTCTCTAGTTTTGTGTGGAATGCTATTGGTATTTTGATTGGACTGCATTAAATCTATGTATCAGTTTTGGAAGTATCTTAGTTACTTTTCTCATGGCTGAAACAAAATACCCAACACCCAAAGTTCAATGAAGAAAGGTTTATTCCAGATCACAGTCTGTAAAGGTTTCAGTTCATAGTCAGCTGCCTCCAAGGCAAGGTGGCATGGCAGAGGGGCGGTCACATAAGAGAAATAGTCCGTGGTAAGAGGCAGGTAAGAGGCAGCAAAGCAACAGTGGCAGCAACAGAGAGCCTGCATTTCTCTTGTATCCCATCTAGGCTACAAGCCTTTTAGGTGGTGCCACCCACACCCAAGCTGGTGCTTCTATCTTTAGTAAATCTATTCAGCCACACCCAGAACTATTTTAATTCCAGTCAGTGGACCACACACCTTTAATCCCAGTATCACACACTCTACATCCAACCAGCTCTGACAAAAGCCCCCCCAATGAGCACATGAGAGGAAAATCTAGAAGGTTAGGGGGAAATCTAGAAACAAGCCATTAATAGGAAGTACAGACATTTTGACAATATTGGTTCTGTCTATCCAAGATCAGGGCATGTCTTTCCATTTTCTGATGTCCTCTTTGGTCACCTTTTTCAGAGTACTCAGTTTTCATTGTAGAGGTCTTTCACCTCCTTGGTTAGATTAATTTCTAAGTATTTCATTTTTATAAATGCTACTGCGAATGGTATTGTTTCCATAGTTTCTCAATGAGCTCGCTATTGGTGTAAAGGAATGATATTTTTTTTGTATGTTTATTTTATATCCTGCTACACTACTGAATTTGGTCATTCTAGGAATCTTGAGTTTTCAAGTTAGCTCTGCAACTGTTTTACTAGTGAACCACAAGTTTTCAAGGATTTAAATAGCCTGAAAAGCTTGGGTGCTGGGGGCGGGCACTCTCCATCGAGCACTTACAACAGAATTCCGCATACTCAGCTGGCAGAAGGAAGGTCTGAGGGAGGATGTGAAAAGCCTTGAATCCATGTGTATGCTGCATTCGAATGATGTTTTTGTACAGCCGGTCCTTCCGTGTTAGTTCATAAGACCTAAAAACCAGAAAAGTATTTCCAATTCAGTAAACTCTGACTCTGAGGTTTTCCTGTGCTATCACACTGAGGAGTTCATTCCGGAGCACCTACTGAAGTACCATACATCCCAAATCTGTCACCTTGGTAACAGAAGGTACGAATCATTTTCACCAAATGAAAGTTTTTGGCCAGATTTTCTCATTAAAATATTATACACACCAGGCCTGATGGTGCACACCTGTCATCCCAGCACTAGGGAGGGTGAACAGGAGGATTAGTGAGTTCAAGGCCAGCCTGAACTGCACAGTGAAGTTTAAGGCCAGCAAGAACTATATAGTGAGGCCATGTCTCAAAAAAACAAAACAAAAAAGAACAAGACGTAAGTACAAAGAAATTTCCCCTTTTTGGTATACAATTCTGAGTTTGGAAAAAATATACACAGTTAGGTACTGACCACTACAATTAACATGTGTACCCCAATCGGTTCTGATGTCCTAAATCTGCCCCAATCATAGCACAGCCTTGGGAAAACATTCATCTCTTTTCTGTCCTTATATTTTTGCATTTTCCAGAAAGTTAAAAAAACAAAAAGAACAATACAGCATATATCTTTGGTTTATCCTCCTCTCCCTCTCCCTCTCTCTCTTCTTTTCAGGACCGGGGATTGAGGACTTCTCATTAAACTACATCCTCACCACCCCCTTTTTATTTGTGAGACAGGTTCTTCTGTTCTTTTAAGACGGCCTTATTCCACTGAGCACAATGCACTTGAGATTTATTCTTGTGTTGCATGTGTCAGCATTTTGCCCCCTTTGTTTTGGTCAGTAAAAACCTATGGTGTAGATATGCCAGTTTATCTCTTCACCAGCTGAATGACAACTTCACTGTTTCCAGTTTGGGGAGATTATGAATAAATTTGCTATAAACATCCACACACAGGTTTTTGTATTAACATAAGTGTTTTTGCATCCCTGCGTTCTTTTCTGTTATGACTCTACTATAACACTAAAATCACGAATTCTTATAAGGTTTTATGCGAACATTTTCATTTTTCTAAGAGTGGGGCTGCTCGGTTGTTTAGTAAGTCATTTATCTATTGCTGCATACTAAATAGCCCCAAAACCTAGAAGCTTGAAGTAAAAAACACATTTATAATGCCACACAGTTTCTGGGGGTCAGAAATGTGGGAGACAGAGGTGGGTAGTTCTGCCTCAGAGTCTGTCGTGAGATTCCAGTCGAGAAGGTGGTCAGCACTGGCTGAGGACAGAGGACCGGCTTCCCAGAAGGCTTGCTGGAAGGGGCTGGCTGCTGACGAGTGCCTTCCTGACATAACAACCACTTCTCCCAGACCGAGAGATCTGAGAAAGACAGCAAGAAGAAGTTGTAAAGGTTGCTGTGGCCTAGTCTCACAGTGACACACCACTACTTCTGGTACATTCCATTTGTTGGAGGCAAGTTACTAAGTCCAGATGATGCTCAAGAGCAGAAAAATTTAGCTCAAACTTTTGAAGGTAGTGTCAAAGAATTTATGGACACATTTTATAATCACCACATAACTACATGTTTAACTTTATAAGAAACTGCCAAATGGTTATTCTGAGAATATTGGAAAAACAAGCTCAGTTCCTCCTACCATTCTCAGAGATCAGAGGAAATACCAGTGTCTTTCCCATTCTCCACTCTAACTTCAACACAGTCACTCACACTTTGTCACCAGATGCCGCACACCAGCAAGCAATCCTATGGCACACGTGGGCTGGCTGTTCTCTAATTCAACTCAATTCAGACACTGCCTACCTGAGGTCTCTGTCCCCAAGACTGCCCCTCACGTAAGGTGCCACTTACAAGTCCAGGTTGTCTTATATGTGCTACTGATTGACCAGCCACCCAAGACTGTCTCCTTGGGTTCAAATGATTTGCTGCAGTGGATCACAGAACTCATTGCATTTACAGGTTTATTACCAAGGATATAAGCAGGAGACTCATAAGGCAAGGCATGATAGAAGGGGTGCAGAGCTTCCATGCCCTTTCCCAGCATGCCACTCTCCAGGAAACTCCACATGTTCAGCTTCCTGGAAGCTCTCCAAATCCAATCCTTTAGGCTGGAGTGGAAGCCCCTGTAGTGGGTGTGGTAGTGACCACTGGTCACTAGTGATCAACATAACCTCCAGCCCCTTTCTCCCTCCTGGAGGCTGAGGGGCAGGCTGAATGTCCAACCCCTGTAATCATGCCTGGTCTTTTCCTTAGACAGGCCCTCATCCTCAAGTTACCTAGGGGTTACCGTCACCATTTGATTCAAACATACAAAACGACACTTACCATTTTAAAGATTCCAGAGACTTTAGGAACTGTACAGCAAGAACCAGAGACTTATGGCTAACCACAGGTTTCACAATATCACAGGTACCATTTTGCATTAGCACCAGTCACATTTACGATTCTAATGTAATGCACCTTATCCTATAGTTGGTTGCTGTTGTTGTCTTATAATAGTTATATACTGGTATCTCCCATTGTTTTAATTTGCATCCCACTAATGACCAATGATGTTGGGCATCTTTTCATGTCTTTACTTGCCATATATATATATATACATATATACATATATACATATATATATATATCTTATATGAAATACCTAAACCTTTCGCCCACTTTGAAAAATAGGGTGTTTTGTTTGCTTGTTTTCTTATTATTGAGTTTTATGAGCTCATTATATGCTCTGGATACAAATTCCTTATTGAATGTGTGTTTTGTAAATATTTTCTTTATTCCACAATTGTTTGGGGGTACTGGGATTTGAACCCAAGTCTTTCATGCTGAGGTACATCCCTCAGCCCTATTCTTAATCTGTTACTTTGAGACAGAGTTCCATTGACTTGCTAAATTGCCCAGGCTGGGTTCCAACTTGTGATTCTCCTGCCCCAGAGTGCTAGGATTATAGGAGCACACCACCATGTCCACCTGATTTTCTTAACAGTGTCTTTCAGATAACAGAAGTTCCTAATTTTGATGAGGTTCCATTTATCATTTTTTTCTTTTATGCATTGTTTTATTGTTATATCAAAGAAATTATTATCTAACTCAGGACCATAATAAAGATTTTTCCTCTCTATAAATTTTACAGTTCCTTTTACATTTAGGTCTATGATCTTTTCTCCAAGTAGGCTTTTAAAAATTAAGTTATTTTAGTGGCTAGGGATTTAGCTCAGTGGTTCTGCCTCCTGCCTCGCAAGTGCAAGGTCGCAAGTTCAATCCCTAGTTCGATCCCAAAAAAACCCAAAAACCAAAAAGTTAAGTTATTTTTAAAAATTGAGTTATAAGTATAAAATCTATTCTAAAACAAAAACTAAATATAAATTTAAAGGACTGCATTTTACCTTTGACTTTTGATAAATATGCTCAAAATTTCAGGTTATAAAAATGAAATAAGCTGGGCGTGGTGGCATACACCTGAAATCTCAGCACTTGGGAAGGTGAGGCAGGAGGATAGTTGTGAGTTCAAGGCCAGCCTAGGCTATACAGTGAGTTCAAGGTGAACTACATAGTGAGACCCTGTCTAAACAACAACAAAAACCCCTAAATGTAGTATAACCAGGTATGGTGGTGCACACCCGTACCTGTAGCACCAGGGAAGCTGAGGCAGGAGGAGCTCTGCAAATTCAAGGCCAGCCTCAGCTGCAAAATGAGTTCAAGGCCAGCCTCAACTACACAGCAAAACCTGGTCTCAAAAAAAAAAAAAAAAAAAAGAATGAAGGAAATTCTAGCTTCATAAAGCTTCACCAACCAAGTCTGTGCTTATTCACTACCACAAATCATTATGAAATATTTTAGGAATGCTATATGTCTTTAATTGAATCACAGTTCTCTAATAGTATAAAAATATGGATTATTCATGTAATGAAAAATATCAATATACAAAAATGACAAGTTCCAAAACTGGAGATCTGATTTTTTTTTTCAGTTCTTTGTAATATTTGTGTGATCAGGGTTTTGTTCATAAAGTCTCTGCCTACACCTATGTCTTCTAGAGTTTTACCTATTCTAGCGTCCAGCAAATTAAGTGTTTCTGTTTTAATATTTAGATCTTTGATCCATTTCAATTTTAGTTTTGTGCATGTCAAGAGATAATGGGTCTATGTTCAATTTCTGGCACATGGAAAGCCTATTTTCCCAGCACCACTTATTAAAGAAACTATCTTTTTTCTTCCAGTGAAAGTGTTTAGTCCCTTTGTCAATAAGGTAGCTGAATATACTTGGGGTTTTTCTACATCTTCTATTCTGTTCCAATGATCCTCAGATTTTTTGTTGCTGTTGTTTCATTTGGGTTTCTTTGCCAGTACCTTGCTGTTTTTATCATGGTAGCTTTGTAGTATAACTTCAAGTTGAGATTGTGATAGCCCTTGCCTTGTCCTTGTTGCCCAGAATTGTTTTTGCTATTCTAGGTCTCTTCTGGTTTCATATGAATTTTAGGATTGTTTTCTCTAGTTCTGTGAAGTATGGTATTTTTACTGAAATTGCATTAGATCTGTGTAACAGTTTTGGAAATATGGCCACTTTTACTATATTGGTTCTGCCTATCTAAGAACAGGCAATATATTTCCATTTTTTACCTTTTTCAGAGTACTGTAGTTTTCAATCTATAGATCTTCCACTTCCTTTATTAGAATGATTTCTAAATATTCATTTTTCTTAATGTTATTGTAAAAGGTGTGACTTCACTAATTTCTCAGTGAGTTTGTTATTTGTGTATAGGAATGCTACTGATTTTTGAGTGCTGACTTCATATCTTGCTTCACTGCTAAATTTGGTTATTAAAATTAGGAGTCTTCTGGTAGAGGGGTCTTCTATGTAGAGCAACAAATGATAATTTAACTTCTTAGTGTCTTATCCATCCCTTTTTTTCTTTCTCTTATCTGTTCTAGTATTTCCAGAACTACATTGAACAAAAGTGATGATAGTGGGTATCCTTGTTTTGTAAAGTGAAAGTTTTCAGTACCATTTAGTCATAATGTTGGCTGTTGGTTTGTCATAGATGAGATAAAGACCTTCTATTCCAATTTTCTGTAGTTTTTTTTTTTTTTAAATCATGAATGGGTGTAGGACTTTGTCAAAGACTTTTTCTATGTCTGAGATGATCATGTGTTTTTTGTTCTTTCCTCTGTTAATATGGTATATTACATTTAATGATTTGTGTATGTTGAACCATTAATGCATCCCTGGGATGACTCCTACTTGGTTGTGGTATGTAATCTTCTTAATGATTTGCTGCATTCTGTTTGCCAGTATCTTAATGAGGATTTTTACATCTGTGTTCATTAAGGAGAATGGCCTGTAGATTGGCCTTTTTTTATTGGATCCTTCTCTGGTTTTGGTATCAACGTAATCCTTGCTTCCAGAAATGACTTCCCTTTCAATTTCATTAGAGTTTGAAGAGCAATGGCATTATACCTTCTCTAAAGTTCTTGTAGAATTCAACAGCAAATCTGTCAGGACCTGAGATTTTCTTTGTTGGTAGTTTTTTATTACTTGTTTTATTTCACTGACTGATATTAGGTTATTTATAATTTTTATATCTTTCTGATTCAGCTTTGGTGTATATATATATATATATATATATATATATGAATGAATGTCCATTTCT